GAACAAAATGACAGCTGTCTCAAATCGGAAATATCCCACGAGTAACCCAACCTATACTATGCTCAAATTCCACGCCCACTCCGTCTCAGGGATAAGCACTGTAAACCCAGTTCGGTGGTCGCTACTGAAAACAGCGCACGTGGATGGCGTCAGTTCCAGAGTAGCACTAGTATGGTTTCCAACCTTTTTTTCCAAGGCTAATTAGTCCACCCATATAAATCGTCAGTAAAGTAGGTCGCGGTCCGCTGATAATTATGACTGCCAAGTCCACAGTAGAGTTATCGTGCTAACTATCCTGTCTACGGCGATGATGGCAATTGGATTTAACGGGCCAACATCGTCAACTAAACAAGGAAAGCAAAGAACACTTAACAGGGACTAATTTTCGTGCCAGTAACAAGTAAATGTTCAGCCCGAGAAAGTTTTTCTATTCAGGATTAGGCTGTCACCAAAATCAGCGACCCACTATTTGTTTATAGACCCGTCTGACTGACCAGTTCGAAAAGAAGTTACCAAGACCTTCTATACGGTAATGCTCGAAACTAGCTACACCCACATTCAGTTCTGATACCGGCTGGTGGCTGGTAGGCCAAGTGGTAGAGTAAACCACAAGCCTAATTAGTTCGGAGTAAAAGTAGTGATTTAATACCTCGTTGTGGCTACACTATCTCATTGAAGACAATATGAGAATCTTAAAACTTACTTTCGGACCACCCGAACGACAGGCCGCTGTAAACATGGAGGGTTAGTCCCGCCTCTTTGATAATCAGGCGACCTACGGAGGACACGATGAATACTCGGCTAGTGACTCTCATCACCCAAATATTCCTGATTACGGTATGAATTTTCTTTACCTTTATACATTGCAAAAATTTGCTCTATAGTTCGAAATCCCGAAATTAATCGCCCATTGAGCCAGGGGAACGTGTCATCGAAAGCACAGTGTGGGAGCTTCCAACTTCGCTCAACCCTTTCAATGACCACAAACTCGAATATTATTTTTAATGCTTCATTTTCGCTGGAGAGTCTAGTTTTTTCTTAGGTGACTTCCGTGGATTCTGTCGAATCACTCGTGATATCGGTGAAAACGTCGAAAAAGTTCCATGACACACGTGTGAACGACATCCTGGACACCTGGTATCAAGATGCTAAGCAAGAGGTTACTCCTTATCGATTGAGTAATTTTTTACATCCTCGGAAACTCCAGTTTGAATGGAATAATGGACTAACTAATGAAGTAAACCAAAACCCCAAAAGCAGTGACAAGAAGGTGAACTTAGGAGGCGGAAAGTCCTAATAATACCAATACTCCCTATGCACTACTACTGCTACTACCTCAATATCTCAAGGAAATATTTTGCTCAAAGCTATAGGTGGTGGTCAGCGCTCTAGTCACGGATACTGCATTCGTTTTCGTCGCTGGCATCTTTTATCACGAGAACGCACGAAACTGGAAGAAGCATTTTCCCCACTCAAATCGAAATAAACTTGAGCGCTGGTGCTTTTGTCATCTTGTCTCAACTTGTAAAAGAGCATCCCTTTCTAGTGCCGGCAGGATTTGACGCTAGAATGGCGACGGCGCCAACTAGATGCCGCGCCTTTTCCCACTAAACTCTTCCCGAACTTTTACTAGGGCCCTGATCACGAATGTGACCTTCCGCCTCTGTGTCAGCGCTATTTAGTCCCCTACTTCGGCTATACCGGCTTGGCGGACATTTGGGATAATAGATCCATATTATCAGGCTCGGCTCAGAACAGATGACAGCAGGCAAGCACTGATACGCCTAAAAAGTGGAAATCGCTGTGGTCGGGGTGCGCCAGCTCTGTGAATCGCTGTGTCAGTGTCAGCTCTCCCAAATAGGGTCCTGGTACACCTCTCTCCACCTCAGCTACGACCTTACCAAAATTTCTAGGGGCGAGGGCGTGGACACCTCCGATCAACCGCTGAAATAATAGTTTTAGCCATCAGATTCTGCTCCGCGACGTCACAGAGTACTTAGTCTAAGCGAACCATTGAAACAAACAAGCTATTGGCAGCGGATTTGTCTCGGCTATATTTGACGCGAGTAAAACAAAAACAATGAATGAGCACTTCTTGTACTGTTCCAACTGTTCCTTCCGCTATTACTGCTGATCTTTTTGATTAGGGGTAAAGCATCCCTTGACCCTTACATCCTGAAGCGTAAAATTCTTCTCTACGATCACCCTTATCCAGGCAGGAATCTTGCCTTCCCGTTTTCTTTTTAGGACTTTAGCCAACCTCCCTATCATCTCCGTCTTGTTTGCCTTTCTCAGCAAGACGCAATTGATATGAATATGTATTCATATGTGCACTCGATATGCCCTAGATTACTGTTCAAAGGATGAAAATTACTGCAGATTTCCTGAACTGGTGTTATCAGTTTATATTTCAGTAAAAGTAAACTTGTTAACTTCAGGAATATGGAGCAACCTTCAGAAATCGATGAGTCTGGTAGGGCATATCGTGTGCACATATGAGCGAACTTTATTGGACCAGTGATACAAAGGTGTCGAATGAGCTCGCCCACGGAGTTTTCTATCACTGGTTCTTTACTCCCTGAAAGTGGTCACTGTTCGCAGAAAGTGCGACAGCAAGCGAGCTTATTTCACGCCTCTTGACACCGCCCGATCGGATTGCGTCGGTCTAGCTGTGTGTCGTGTGAACTTGCAAATAAATACTGTGCTAGTTCATGAACATCGCATTACTCTAGAGATGCCCACCTAGAAAGGGACACTGCCCCCCCCCCTCCCCCTCGCTCCCCCAAATTCACAGCATTTCCGTCTCATCGTACCTTGAGAATGATGGTTAGCACACATGGCCAATATCTTTCTGTCTGAACCTGGTCTGCAATATAATTTGCTTCGAGGATTTCTGACATAATTACTCTAATAATTTTCATGTAAAGCCTCAGGAGAGATGCCACTGAGCTCACTAGGGAAGTTTGGGAGCTCTCCTGAAGATTGTGATTGCATTTAAGGCCTACTTCTTCACGGACTCTGACGATGAGAGCTTGAAAAGACGACTAGGCGACCATTTGGTGACAACAGATTGCCCCACAGGGCACGACAGGTTGGTGTCGAGACTGCAATATCCTAAACTGCCGAAGATAGCTGATTTTGTGCCTCTTTTTCTATAAGAGTCCTGCTCTTCCTAACCACGCCGGACACATACACATTGATATGCATGTATTTGCGTTTTTCCTGTAATTGAAAATGTGATGAAATAGTGAAAGAGGAAGAGCTACTCGGTATGAAATGATTCGGCCGATGAAGGATATAATTATGTTCGAAATTTGCATACCCCACGAATTTTCATGTCCGGTGATTGTGTTATAACCTTGGGAACCATTTGCAGGAACTCGTTATGCTGCAAAATGAACCACGAACTGATGTTCTTTGTAACAAGGAACGCTAGGTGAGTCATTAGATTGTTGGACTTAAAGTCATATTTCGTGTTGGTGATAGGCGAGAACAATTAAAAGCGCTGTTCGGCTAGAGGAGAGGGGGGGGGGAATCTGCATCACCGCTAGTTCCTTTTGCTAGTTCTTGTTAAATTGTCTCACCTTGTTGAGACCTGCAGACCTCCTGTCAAACGATGAACTCCTGTCAAGTTTGAGGGATGCTAGTGTAACTGTATAGCTTTACAAGAATTTGCAGGTCACCACAGGCAGTGATCGATGATATAGAGAAAAATGCCCTTTGAAGCCAAACCGCGCCCAGTTCATCATTGTGCCTTTTTCATTGGCGCACCCCTCCCGACTGCTGCTTTTGGAGTGAGGCGCAGTAGTGGGAGACCAGGAGTACTGACCGCCTCCGCCTACACGTCCAGCGTAGACCTAGAAATCTAAATTTGAATTACTGCGTACATTACACAGTATGTGCTCAGGCTAGACTGAAAGAGAAATAGAGATGCGAGAATAGCAGTGGGCTACGAAATGAAAATCGCGATACCTGAGAATCGAGGTGGGATAAGGTACGGCCAAAGATGGAGAAGAAGAGCAATACCGCGCCATGATTGATCGGTAAAACAATGGGCCAAGCACTTAGTGAGAAAAAGCATTGGAAATCCTTTTCACTTGCAAATATAGCAAATGCAAAAAATTGAATCACGTTAGTCTGAGTATGATACAAGGGTGGAATTTTCCCACACAACAGGTTTTTCATCAGATGAAATTTGTCAGAATCCGATCGTCCTCTGCATTAATCACTGTGGCAAGTCGCAGGTGGTTGCTGTGATCTTTTCTGAGACAAATGATAGGCGCTGGCCTCCGCTCACAATTCTTCATCTATCAGTTCGCCGTTTGACACTGGTCAAGAAAGTGGGGCAAGCGACATAACCCGTCTGGATAGATTAGTCAGGAATTTCTGCATGAAACTTTCACAAGTAGTCAAAGAAACACTCACCATCGATAGGAAGCTTCGTTACACCAGTGAGTCCCCTGTGCCCACGAGGGACACCGATTTTCCATTTCCAGTAAGGAAAGTCTCGTGGAGAAAATAGGCCTGTTGAAGACTTTCCATCCAGTTGAAGCATGAGCGGAGCTAGGCGAACCGCTGTGTATTCCTCTTTAGCCAGTCCCTCCTTTCTGTAGACTCATTAAAGAACGGGAGACACGCCAATGGGGAAGGCACAATGTCGGATCCGGCCCGCTCATGCACCGACTGCAGCAATATAGACCTATCGTTTATAAATTCAGGTCAGATTTTCCAGTTTCAGTTGGTCATGCCATTTCGATGACGACAACTATGTCAACATTGGAATGCTTAGACGTCTTCTGGCGTCGATGAATTCTACATTACCATTGTACCTCGGAAAATCGTCCACACATCGACCGCTCAAAGTTTCATTATTGGATGGGAGAAAGGTCAGTTTCAAAGTTCGGACTAAGGATTCCACCAGCTTTTGCGCCATAACATGATATAGAGCAAGAGATCCGAACCGCAGCGCGCGGCTACTGCCGTGCGGCTTTGCAGGGGGCATTGAGCGACACAACACTGACACATGCGATCACCGGCGTCACCATCACGCGTCTGCGCAGTGGCACAATTTTTCGCGCATCAAATAGGACAAAGGTAAAAGGGATGAAGCACACGGCTCGCGAGTACGCTGAGCTATCGCTTCTTACTTGCTTCCTTTCTGAGATATAGGGAAAAGAGAGGGAGAAAAAGATAGCCTCGAATGGCTATTGGGCATATTTTGAGCGAAATTCGAAATCCTAATGTCCTCTGTGGTAAATATAATGAAATGATAAAGTGCCTTTAGTGGCGGGTTGCAGGTTGGAGCGCTGCCAAGCGCTCTTTTCCACCAACGATACCATCCTGAGTCCCCAACACTTGGCGTGAAATTTGGCTGCGTACGAAATCAGCCCTTCGTACGCGTGAACGTTTACAGGGAGCATGCCTAGCTTCGCTGTACTCGCATCTCTTTGTTCGGTAATTCACCAGAAGGCAATCGAGACATTGTAGACTTCTACGGCTAAGAAGGGGCATACCAGTGCATTTTTGCTATCAATATCTCTTGCAGGAAAAAATAGAAGTGAGAATGCTACTCATGTATTTGTTACTATCAGATTCCCATATGGTTTGCCACTGGTGGAGCCGGTATCTGCCTTTCACAAGGAATTCTTGGTCATTTGAGGAAATACGTTGTGGAGCACAGATTTGAAGCTCTCTGCGACAAGTACATGCTACCTGATGATGTCACGCTTGGGCTAATTATCAGTAGGTTATTGCGTTTTTGTATAAAATGTTCACGCTTTTCATGTGGGGGAGTCAAGCTCACATCGCACTTTGATCATTGGTGCGCCCTCCCTTTCCACAACGGTCAGGGGAGGGGTGCGCTAATGATGAAAAATCAGCGGCCTACCCCGCGGCCTACGTAACAGCAAAATTGCGCCTTTGGATTGGTTCTGAGATCGGAACGTTTAAGACGATATTTTGCATTTGAAAGGCAACTGTTTCCTATAAGGTCATTGCACTAATTTCCTTCTCCCTTTTTCTTATCAAATTTGAGATGCTACTGCAATCAGTGACTACTAGCCATAGCGCATCAAGTACAAATATTATGAACAAGAAAAACATCATCCTATTTAGCACACCTTCTGAAAGTGCCTCTCACAATCATCCATGAGTTTCATTCTCATCTCGAACCACTTCACCGAATGCAGCCGTCAGATATTCCTTCTCAGGTAAATTTATGATCATTGTAATCAAATCTCGAATTCTGAAACGGTGGAGCTTCTATTCATCGCAGTTGGAATGCGCCATGCATTCCACTTCCACTCAGAATCGTACCTGGCTTTGCAAATGTGATATTGCCCATACAATGACTTGCGGGGGCCAGATGTACGACTTAACATATCCATGCTGCTAGACGCGCCTGGCACCAATTAAACGATCCTGAAGGGAAATGAGTTTGGTACACTCGACAGGGAGCTGATCTAAGATTTGACCCAGGACCGCGCACGTGGTGTTCGGCACCACTTGCCATTGCTACCCCTGAAAATCACTGTGTAACGTTCTTTAGTCCTTGATACAGTTTCTCCCGAAATGCTTCTGTTTTACAGAAAAAAGTGCAAATTGATTGCTTTTAACCAACAGTCTTTCAGATCTCATTCGGTGGAAGCGAACAACCGTTTGGACTTCATGGAATCAATTTCGGGCAGCTGACACCTTCAGTACGCAATGATCGATTGCGATTTCGTGCCCTACACGCATTCCTTAAATCTATTAGGTAGTTTTTTGCCAAGCTTCTGCTCAGCGAACCTTGTTCTGGTCTAAGTAGTTCTTTAATCGGGTATTGAATGAAAGCGATTTTTACACATATTTATGTCAGAGTTAGGTGTCCTCTGAAGTAATCACAGTAGAGTTAGTTGTTATTCTGTTATCTCAAAAAACGACTATCCACCGTGATTTTACCTAGACTTCCTCGATGAGTTCACAGATGCGTCTAGCGGTTGATGTACAGTGTTCGCGGCTGGTGATGGGGCGTGTCAAGACGTGACTGGCTTGCGCCAACCCGTTTTTTCTTTTTTTCTTTCGGCAAACAAGAAGACTGTATCCTATAGTTTGTACCAGGCGTTTCTCACCAGTTGGTGTCGCTTACTAAGAAGTGGAGGAGAACGGGCTGCTGGCGCGCCGAACCCAGCCTCACTGACACGCCCCTGCATCCATAGCAAGCAAGACTGTATCATGTTCTCCGCATTCGAATAAGAACACCTACGTCGCGCGCGGTCGCGATCTGTACGTACGGAACGAAGAGATTTCGAAGAGAGCGGTCTGGACAAAAGGCGCGAGAAATGAAAATTTTTGGGTGTTCACCTTCTCCACTGAACATGTGCTATACTTCGCCAGAAAGCCTAAGTGGAGTAGTAGAGGTCCAGAGGACTTTCCGACGATGAGGATCGTATTGAGGAGAAGGGGCAGCCAAAGTCATGAACTCTGCGGAGCTCCTGAGAGAACGATAGCAAAGCTTCTTGTATGTAAAAACGCCAATGATATTTCCGCTGAGAGTACAGTCCTGCCGCTGCAGATGATGGGGCGTGTCAGTGGGACTGAGTTTGGCGCCGCCGGCGATTTCTCCACCAGTTGTTAGCCGAGTAGGTGACAAACTGGAGGAAAATGCGACATACGAACGATATGAAAAAGTCATGCTGTCCGCCGAAAAAAGAAAACGAGTCGGCACCGCGTCAAACCCATCTTCGCTTGGCACGCCCCGTCATTCGCAGGGGTGGAGATACTATGGAAAACCAGAACTATCAATCAATAACATACAGAGTAGCTTATTGACAAGACCCTAGACTTGCCCGTGTGCCCGCCTCGTGCTCTGCTTTACATTATATGTACTGCAGTCTGAAGAAACACCGCGCGATAATCCAACTCACTGTTGGCCCATTCTCTGATTTTGTTAAGAAGGGTGCGCCAGTGAAGGGGGCACAATGCTTATATGTCTCCGCCTATTTGTGTGCCGCGGAATGTGTCCACGATATCGATCTGCCGGGGTAGGTTACGCTGCGACCGCCTGCGTGTCACACGTCTCGCGATTACCTGCTATCAGTATCACGGAAACCCAACAACATTGCTTAGCTTCAGTCAAACACGCAGAAAAGCCACTTTATGTTTTAATTTTTCCAACGATCACAACAAAAAGTAATAACAATATCGAACAAGTTGATGAAAGGAGTTCAAATATTATATAATTATGACATGAACTATTCACACACATTTAATACTTGATGAGGGACAGAGAAAATAGAGAAATGCAGATATGACGTCATATGTTTGTTGTACAAGATTGGTCGTTGTCAAGTATACAGCTAATATCGTTGTAATTAGTCGGGGAGGTGTCGAGAGGCATAGAATGAACCCACTCGCACCTCATCATTTGTTCTTTTCCTTTCAAACCGTCACTGAGCAATCACTGTTGGTCGAAGGTGGAGCCAAGGCGGGCTCACCCCGCCCCATCTAAAACCGCCCAGACTGTTTGCCACGATATCAACTAGATGAGCTGAGTTTACGACCGAGTTACTCTTTGAAAACTGCACATTTAGAAAGTAAATCAAGGAGAAAAGGGTTCATAGAGTGGACTAAGTATAAAGCATCGATTAGAGCGGTCTTGTTGAGTTCATACAATGCCAGCATCTTTGGCCATTCCATAGAAAACGCCTTCGGGGTTAGCAAGAAGTGCTTTCGGCGAGTCGAATTCGACAACACATCCAGCCGACAGGACAAGAAGTCTGTCACAGTCCATCACCTGAAAGTTGCCCAATGGAGAAAGCGAAAAATGGGTTTCAAACTGATCAACGTTTCGGTTCTGGTTACCGCAATTCCGCCGTTTTCCGGCCCAGTTGTCATGGTGGAAGATTGTTCCCCTTCAAAAGGGCCGATTACCGCTTTTATTCCCTGGGCTTACCACACCCGCTGTTACGGTAATATCGCAACCGAGGCCACGTCAACCCCGGGAAGCAATCATTGCATCTTTCGCAAACCGAAAAGCTCATTCTAAAGGCAGTGGGTACAACTGCTTTACGCGTACGGGTGCTGCCAACGCCATTGGCGGAAGGGCTGTGAAAGGGCGTTCGGCTAATCCCGACTCATCCTTCCACCAATGAGGTTGGCGGCAACTGCCTATCCTCAGCGATTATCCTCACGAATTGAAACAAAGCTGTAGAAATACTTACCGTATGTAATCGATGAGCGATAGTCAATACTGTACAATCAGCGAACTGCTCACGAATAGTCCTCTGAAGAAGGGAATCGGTTTCAGCATCGACGGCTGCTGCCGCTTCATCCAAAATCAGGATTTTCGGACGACGTAATAGTGCTCGGGCCAGGCACAACAACTGCCGTTGACCAACACTGAAACAGAAAGCATGATTGCGCATTTCATGCGAAAAGTATTACTTGAAGACACACTTCGCGATCGCAAGCCGTAGAAAGGGGAGTTCAAAGAAGTTATTGCACGTTCTACTTGAACTAGCTTTAATAAATAAAGCCGAAAGCCTGATAAAAATGCTCTAAACCAGGTGCACGCTCCAATAATTGGTGGAGAACAGGCTGGCGCCGATCCAAACTCGACCCCCCCCCCTGACACGCCCCAGCGTCTGCAACGAAAAGTACTTCATGTTTTGTTGTAGCATCACCCTATTTCCATCAGTGGCTGCCTTCCACATAGTGACAATGACTGGTGGAAACAGGTCGGTGCAGCGCCAAACCCAGCCCTTGACACCCCAGCATCCGCAGCGAACAAGGGCCGTAATTACAGCCGTGAAATTGTTCAAATTTGCACTCGCCTCAGATTCTCGCCTCCTTCTGAGATTTGATGCTGAAGTTTCTCGGCAAGCGACGAGACGAAAGGCTCCAAATGAGCATTTCGAAGAGCGTTCCAAATTTCTTCATCAGCTGAAACACAGGATATTAGCTGTAGTTAGCTGCATGACAAAACACATCGCCAGAAAACCTCTTACAGTACGCATCAAATGGGTCCAAGTTGAACCGCAAAGTTCCTGAGAACAGTACTGGATCTTGTGGTACGATTGTTAATCGGGATCTCAGTTCCTGAATAATAGTGATTTGCTCGATGTAGGTGATTTATGGACCTCTGAAAAATAACCTCTAGAGAGAACTTTGATATGTTCTCGCCGTCAATCTCAATACTTCCGCTGTCTATCTCAACGGTCCGGAAAAGGGCAAGCGTGAGAGAGCTTTTTCCTGAAAGTAAGCTTACCAGCAGCGGTTCAGTTACGAAGCATGTCGCAAATATTCAGCCATTCCTTAGCTAATGGAATAAACTTTACTCTCGTTACCAACATGGGAAGGAGCTAAGACTCAAAAATGGCTGTATACGCTCGAGAATCTCAAGGATTGGCTTCCAAATGGTCACCGATATACAGTGGACGTCAAGCGTGCACGTGTCTACATTCCCGTTGCCACTAGGTCTCTTATTTGGGCAAAAGAAGTCACTGAGCGACATCGCACGACATGCCTTGCGCGGCGATGCGAAATCATTGGTACAAAAAGTAAAAAAGAAACAGAAATGACATGCTTTCCACAACGGTGCAAATCATGAGCTAGCGCAAATTGGCATGTCTTGCCCAGAAATACACTCCAAATCCCGGTGATGGAGGGGCGTGGCTACGTACTTGATTCAAACGTGTTCGTTGCTGAGCTTCCGTCGGAATACTGCCATTTTGGAACAGCTGTACTCATGCCCATGTCCAGTGCACGACAGATGAGAGTTGCCCAAATGAAAATATCCCACAAAATAAAAAACGCACCATAAGCCAAGTTCAAATAAAGTACGCGGCCGCGCCCCTTCCATCTTCAGGATGTGAAGAGGAGTTACCTGTTACCACGTAAATTTTTCGCGAAAATAACGCCCAAAGTTTGCGCTACGTCGCTCGGTAACCTCTTCCTGAGCACGTATGAGCAAAGTGAGGTGGATTTATAGGTTTTGCAAGGAAATCCTTTATTCAGCCGTTCTCGCCGCAACACGAATGTCTTGGACCACATCCCAGCCCCTGGTGGAATTTCCGCCTCATCTTTTTGAGTGCGCACCCTAGGCAGCTTCACATTCCTTTATAGCTTCACGTTGGCAACGCCATCAACATTTAGCTGATCACAAAATGAAATAAATATGTACCGAGTGAGAAGCAGAGCTTATCAAAAACAGTTTGCCACCCTTTATACATAGGAAATATCCGAGAATGTACCTGCTCCAGTACGTCCAACGATTCCGACCTTTTCCTTCGGCTCTATACTTGCGGAGACATCCTTGAGCACTGGTTCTAAACCAGCGCGATACCTAAAAACGAGATGCAGTGACTATCCCTGCAAAAGAGAGGGCGTAAGGGACGCAGTGAGAAGTGCAGGCGGGGCAGCCTTTACCACCACCTGTTGCTTGCTCAGAATGGCACCATTGGTCGAAAAGGCCACATTGGCTGCGCTCATGTCCGCGCCCCTAACACGCATTCTCGTTCGCAGGGAACATGACTATAATTTTATATCCCTGGTAAGAGGCGAAAAAACGTTGGATAGGGCTGGGGCCAAATAAGTACCTCAAGCCGTCTGTCCAAAAAGCAGTTCTTCTATGCAACTAATGAGGTCCTCTTATAGACTCCCTAGGTACTTCAATAAGCAGGTCACCAACCTCAAAAAGATATTCCTGATGTCGATTCTTCCTTGTTGTGGCCACGAGCCGACTGGCTTCTGCTTAGAATGAGCTCCTTCAATTGGAGAGTCGCTGTACTCTTTGATACGTTCTACCGCAACGATGTTCGTCTCCAGCTCACTGGTCATTCGCACAGCCCAGTTGAGCGTTTGCGTAATCTAATTAATACAC